TAATGATTCTGTGATCAACCAAGATACCAATAAAAAGGGTCGAGAAAAAGTAATTGACATTCTACTATCCTCTATCAGTTAAATGCAAGAGATTGTTGCCACCTTTGTTGGACCAGGATATTTGTCATGCCCTGCCCTAAGCGGCTCAGGATTGTTACCTTCAGGAGGTTCTAAAACTGTTATGTCTGGGTTTATGCCCTCTGATACCTCTTTTAAATAAAAATATTGACCCTGAGGTAGTCCTCTATTGTAGATTCTATCATAACCTTAGGTAAGGCCCATTTAGAGTTGTCTCTGAAGCATAGATTATTTCTTGGGAAATATCGCAGCAAAAGGTAGCACCCAATATATTTAACAACAAGGCCTGTTGTTGACACTTTGTCCGGCTGGATTGTTCCGGCAGGCCCTTCAAGGGCTGTCATCTCCAACTGGAGCAGGGCAAGAGGCAGATTACCTCGCCAAAACTACCACTAGACATTGGAAAGTAATAAATATTTTATGCTGGACAAATTTATATATTACTGGGCCACTATTACCTCAGATCAATGAATATCGTTAGTGGTTATAAGATTGACTTTAATTCAACTCATTTATTCTGAAGGCTATTCCAAATAGCCTGCCTTTTAATCATAAACAGATGTCTTTAATGGATGAGGAAGTCATTTAAATGATATTTAAGAAAGCCATCGATTCTGTATCATCAGCATACAGTTATATTATTATTATTATTATTAAAAAAAAAAAAAAAAAACTGTTTAAGCAGGAAACACTGGCAATTGCCCTAAGGCTATTAAACGGAACGATTTTTTAACATCCATTGATATTAAAGAGACTTATTTTTCGATTCCTGTTTGTCTTGATCATCGAATATATCTACGTTTCAAATGGCGAGATCAAGTTTATGTGTTTACATGTTTACCTTTTGGTCTTTCTTCAGTTACACATACATGTATCTTTACAAAAATTCTCAAACCTTTGTTTGCTTGGCTCAGGAAACAGAATTATATGTACATACTTTATAGATGATTCTTTATCTGCTATGTACAGGCTTTTTTAGTTTTGGCTTCATAATTAATACAGAAAGTGTTTTAGACTTCATAATTAATACAGAAAGTTATCAACCTTGTTGATATATGAGAGAGTTTCTAAAATAAATAATAGCTGAGGAAATTTTGTTTAGTTCAAATTTATTAATTCATATGAGCCATCATTTATTGGTCAGTGTTCCTTTAGTAGAACTGCTATTATACGTGCATTATATTTATCCATTATTTAGACAAACAGAAAAATATATTTCTGTCACACTGTATCTTCAGCTATGATAATGATATCATTCATATTCAGGCAATGTTTTTGGAAATAGAATGGTGGATATCTAAGGTTTATATATAATGGGTTTTATATTCATCCACCTAGTATACATGTATAAATGGTTCATAACATCAGATGCTTTCCCATATGGATGGGGTGCCCACAGGGTAAATTCCAAAGCAATGGCCGTTGAAATCTTTAAGAGCAAGGAAACTATATAAATTATTTAGGAGTTTGAGTAATATTCAATGTTCTGTCTGTGGTCATATTTGTTTTTTATACACATTTGTATTCAGGCTGATAATACTTTTGTATTACTTATATAAATAATCAGGGTGGTTATATTGGTAATCTTTTTGAATTGCCTAAAGAAGTTTGGCTGTGGTCTTTGAAAAAAGGAATCTTTTTGTCAGCCAAACATGTTATTGGTAAATCTAATGTAGTGATGGACATTTTGTCTAGAATATTTTCTAGTTCAACGGAATTAAGCTAAATGAGTATATCTTTACAAAGATTTGTAATCATTGTTTCATACATGATGTTGATCTGTTTGCTTCCAGACTTAATAGACATTTAGAAAAATGTTTCTTGACATCCAGACCTTTTTTTCTAGCATGCAATGCTTTTTCTATATATGTATCAATGGTTCTGGAAAAGGTATTTCAAAACAGTAGATCAAGCAGCCATAATCATTCCAGGCTGGTCAACTCCTGTATGGTATCCAATTTTACTATCAATGCTCACAGCCGACCCAGTTTGGTTACCGGTTCGCAAGAACCTTTTTACGTTTAAGCCACAATGGTGCTTTACATTCTCTTAGAGGGAAAAATCTATATCTAACAGGATGCAAGATACCTGGCGGCCATCTACTACGAACAGTATGCATTGGCCTAGCTGGAGAAGATGAAATTTTTGGTGTTGTGGACAACAAATTAATTCATTTCATCCATCTGTAGTTTTATAAATTTCTTAGGAGATATGTCTAACAATTTCCTTGTAGGGTAAAAAACATTATTTGATTCTCTGTAACTCCATAAATATCTGTTTACTTGGAATGCTTCAATATTAGTAAATTAGTTGGGTACGCTGTATCCATTGCAAAATTTATCTTTGAGAATACTGACATATAAAACCAGTTGGTTTGTTGGCTTTAGCTACAGCTTAGAGATGTCAAATTTTAACAGACTTTTGCCTTAATGCTTTATATGATTCAGGCTCTGTTATAACCTTGAGAGTAAATAAGGTTTCGAAAATTTCTCGACCTTTAACACCGTTATTCAGGGTTAAAATTCCAAGTTTTTAAGATGTCAGGATCTGTCCTTGTTTTACTTCGAGACAGTTTATCCGTACAACAGCAGAATACCGTAAATCCAGTCAAGGATTTGTTTTCCTTTTATACGAAGAAGGCTGTAGCTCCAGGAACTTCTGCTAGGTGTTTAAGACAAATATTAAAGTTAGCTGGTATTGATACTTCTATTTTTAAAGCCAGCTCAATTAGAGGGGCATCAACTTCTTCGACATTTAATGGTGGTTGTTCATATTCAGACATTTTGAAGGCTGCAAACAGGAAATATGGATATATATTTGCCAGGTTTTACCACCAGTATGTGCGAAATTTGTTTATTTTGTATGCTGGCTGCGGAATAAATAATAAATGAACTACTAATTTGTTTTAGTTGTTATTTCCTTTGTTGACAACCGTTTAAACTATGCAATATAAATCCGAGATGCCCGAAGGGCATATATGGAATATAATCCCCCTCTCATCCTAGCGCCCGAAGGGCGTGATGGATGAGAAGGATTATATAAATATATAGCCCGAGGGCTCGAGGATTTATCTTCCCTCCCTTGAGCCCTCCCTGTGCTATATTTGGCTGTCAACAAATCTTTAAAAAGACAATACTGAAAGTGTTGTGATCGTTTATATAGAGCGTGGTCACGTGTTTATACACGCCGATTCGGTGAGCTATTTTTTAGCCTTTAAAGTTTGAGCGATTGTGCATGGTTTGAAAGAACAATGAGAAATATGCAATATAAATCCTCGAGCCCTCGGGCTATATATTCATATAATCCTTCTCATCCATCACGCCCTTCGGGCGCTAAGATGAGAGGGGGATTATACACTTACGATGGAATTGTGTGTCCATTTATTGCCCCTAATAAAGTCTGGCAGCAGTTATATAACATCTAGGTCAACGTTGTTACAAGTTGGTGATCAGCGAAGCGTATAATTCGTGCTCTGGTGTCAGTTTGGTGATTATAATTAGAAATGTAAATTTCTACTATGTGAATAGATGGTTCTCTCATGACGTCACACAGGTTACCCACAATGCACTGTCCGCCATCTTGTATGGCAGGAGTCCTTTGTTTACCCAAGATACGCGAGTACTAGTACTAGACCGATCGGCAGAATTACGCTCATTTATAGTTTTAATACAACGAGCTGTTGCTATTTATCATCATGGTAAATTCATGTGTTGTATGGAAGTGCACTATTCGTGCAAATGATACAGATTGTAAACGATCTTTCTATGAAATCCCGAGAATTATAACCCACCAAGGTGATGCGACAGAGGCTTTGTCAAGAGAAAGACGTGAATTATGGTTGATGAGAATCAACCGGGAAGATTTTAATCCAGATCCCACTCAACGTCACTGGAAAGTCTGTTCTGACCATTTTGTAACTGGTATGTATTAAATTTTTTTTAGCTTATTTACTGACGTACATAATTATTTCAATAAGGGAGTCAGAAGCCTAGTTTAAAACTACAAAATTTACTAAATCAAATCCATTTCCAGTCAAGACAAATCTCGTGTCGTTAACTGCATTTGTTCAGTCCCAAATAATCCATAACCTGGCAATTAATAAGTGTTTAAATAATTTTTCATTGTTTATATGTTTCAGGCAATAAGGCTAACCTTTACAATAAGACAAAGCCAGACTGGGCTCCTTCCCTGAAATTAGGTCCTTTAAAACCCAATGAAGAAAATGTCTCCTCTTCATCAATGAAAAGATATAATAGATGTCAGCAACGCCAACAAAAGAGAGATATAAAAAGTTTCTTGGATGGAACTGAATCATCAAATGATGTGGGTATCATGTCAGAAGATGCCGACTCGACAAAAACTAGTAAATTTGTACTCATGGGAAAACTAGAAAGGGAAACAAATCAAGATGCTTCAGTTCAAGTGATAATGCTGATCTTTTACAGAAATATAGGACTGAATTGCAAAGATTGACCTGTGAAAACCGAGAATTAAACAAATCTATTGCAAAGCAGGGTTATTCACGCGAGTCCTTGAAATATGATGAAGCAAGGGTGAAACATTATACAGGTTTAACCTATTCTGCCTTGGTGGCTTTATATAACTTTATAGTTGACAGCATTCCAGAAAACCATAAAAGTTATCTGACTAAATTTGAAAAACTGATGTTAACTTTAAAGAAACTAAGACTTAATTTAAGCTTTCAAGACTTGGCTTACCGCTTTCAGATCTCTGTTAGTTGTGCTTCCAAAGTCTTCAGTGACTTGATTCACATCATGTATACTCGTATGAAATGCTTAATTTTGTGGCCGGAAAGAGAGGAATTACAAATGTCTATGCCCATGGATTTCAGGAAACATTTTGGTGTCAAAGTTTCCATCATAATTGACTGTTTTGAAGTTTTTATTGAAAGACCCTCCAATCTATTGGCCCGTGCTGAAACGTGGAGCAATTATAAACATCATAACACAGTAAAATTTTTAATTGGGATTACACCACAAGGGTCCGTGTCAAGGCGTGGGGAGGACGCGTCACTGATAAACATATCACTGAAATTTGTGGGCTTTTGCTGAAATTACTTCCTGGTGACATTGTTTTGACTGACAGGGGTTTTGATATAACAGAAAGTGTTGGCTTAATGTGTGCAGAGGTCAAAGTCCCTGCATTTACTAGAGGGAAAAAACAGCTATCTCCGGTTGAAATAGAAGCAACAAGAAAAATTGCGCATAACAGAATTCATGTGGAACGTGTGATTGGACTTGTTAGAAACAAATATACTATTCTACAAAGCACAATCACCATGGATTATTTACATTGCACAAGTGATGTTGTGCCTACAATTGACAAAATAACAACTGTTTGTTGCGCTTTATCTAATATGTGTGAATCTGTTGTGCCATTTGATTAAAAGAAAAATAATAAAGAAAACTTTAATTGATATTATTTTTTATTTATTTTTCTTGATTTATCTTTTTTGCACTCTGGACAAAACCAATTGCCTTTTGGTACTCACTTTAAATTAACACATTTGAAGTGAAGCCAAATATAAGTGCAATTCTCATTGCCACAACCTATAAAATTGTCTTCGTCCTCATCATAAACAGTCCTACAAATGCATATGAGTTGACGACTGTCATCAGAAGGTTGTTTGTCAATACTTTCTGAACTGCTTGTCGTAGTGCTTGATTCTGGCTTTTGTTTGAGTGGAGTTGAGTGAACCTTCCCAACAAGCTCTGGTAGAATAACACATTTAAAAAATGCTTCGGATTTCTCCACTAAATATTTCGAAAAGTCAGAATCAATCACAATTCTCTCCTTAAACAAATCATTGCAAGTCCAAACAACAAAATCACAGCACTCTTTATCACACACCAACAGTTGACATTGGACTTGGTAATAATATGCATGTGACTTCATCAATGATAATTTCCCATCTTTAGTTTCTAAACATGTGATGTTGTCACCTATTTTTGTTGAATCACGTTTACAATATGGACATTTGATTTCAACTAAAATAGGTCCACAACAATCACAACAGCCAATTGCGTCAGGGGTAGCCCCCATAAAGGGATATTCAGGATTAATCACAAATCCACTCTCTTCTAATACAAAGTTGTCATGGTGTTGCATCATGAATTTTACATAATGTTGTTTGGCTGTGCTGTCATGATCACAACCCCATTTAGTAGGTTTACTTGAGAACACCTTTGATGAGGGATAGCATATATCCTTTATTAAGCTTTTGGATGGATTTTCGATTTTTGTGTGATACACTGATCGTATTTTTGATGCTGTAATGCGGCCAGCCCTGAAACTAAACCATTTCTTGTTTTTGCTTTGTGAGCGGGTATCCATCTCACAGTTGTCACTCTCTTCTTTAGTAACACGAATATTGTCATATACATCTTCACAAAAAGATTTGATGTCATCATGCATTATGTTAAACACAGCATTATCATGAAGTTCAGTCAAAACTTGTGGGTACTTTTTGTCTAGTGTTTTGGGTCTAAAATGACATGCATATCCGGGCACTAAAGACAAAATTGCAGACTTTTCTCCAGAATTATGTAATGACTCATATAGTTCGGACAGTTCATCTGCAGATGGTTCTGAAACATTGGGTAGTTTCTTTACTTTAATTTGAGCTGGTGTCAAACCTGGACCGTTGTCAAAATTCTTCTTCTTTGTTTTAGCCGATGTAAAGTCAATATCTTGAATAGTTTTATATTGAATCTGAAATATCAACAAAGATAGGTTTTATTTAAATAGGGTTAAATCTTTGTATTTATAAAAGTTTGTTGGTCTGGTTGAGTAACATAAATACATAGAAAGAAACTCTGACCCACATGAATCCAAATTAAAATATATAGGCCTACATACCTTTTGAACTGAAGCAGGCAACCAATAAGCTTTCTTTTCAGTCACTGTCTGAGAATTACACATCTTCACTGCAGCTTCTATGTAAAATAGCAGGGCCCCCACATGTGAACAAACTTCACCTACACCAGCCATACATGTACAGTGTCCTGATATGACATTACCATCATTTTGACATATAATCCATGGCTGGAGACATGCATCATTCATCCTTTGAGAATGTTTTACTTTGGCTGTTAAAACAAACTTTCCATTTAAAATAACTCGACTGACAGTCTGCACCCAACCACTAATGAAATAGTTGTATGACTCCAGGGACTTGTAGGCCTTTAATTCCTGTAATGTATAAGCACTCTGTGTATACACTAAATAATTGACAATGTCTGGATAAGTTATATCAGGCCAGTTATCACACGATGAACTGCTGTCAGGAAATTGCATTTCATAAGGGTCCACACTGCCTATCACTTTAATTTTATCATCATACCGCTCCCTACATACTGCAGACAAAGTCTCTCTGTATTTCAACTTGGAAGATTCGCCAGATTTTGCCATAATAAATAATCAAGTAAAAACATCTGATAGTGATCAATTGCATTAAATTATCCTTTTTATATGCCACTAAGCAATTAGTTTCATAAATCTATAGGTCTAATTAAACTTCAATATACAATATTGCTAGAACAACAATTTTAATGTTATTTTTTTAGGTGAGGCTTTGTTATAAAATTTGACCGTCACGTAAATCATGAGGTGCTAAAATGTGATTATAGGAAATAAAGATTAAAAGAGTAGATTATCACGATGTGTTAAAATTCGATTATACAGAAAGGGAGTGTTGTTCTAACAATATGGTTTTTAACGTTAATTATATCTTATTAATGTTTACAAATAAAATAAATACCTTAGTCGGCTTATTTATGTCTTCATTAACGTATTTTTCTCTCGGAACCATATATCTTTATATAAACGTCCAAAATATCGGCAAAATAATACAAGATAGCGTACATAGTTACCTCGAGTTGCCATACAAGATGGCGTCCACGCAATGAATTATGGGTAATTCCTTTCTACGCGGAACCATCTATTGGAAATTCCTTTCAATAATTTAACAAATCCAAAAAGAAGAACAACCAAACAAAAAATAATCTGTTAATATTATTAGAAAAGACTTTCAATTTTCCACAAAGATTTTTTTTTTTTTTTTGGGGGGGGAAATATGTTATAGCTAAATAACATAGTCCTATGATTTAGCATTAGTCCACCTACGCCATGATAATCTCAGCATAGTAGCACAAGCATTTCTCCTTTTCAATGTCATCGCGTATTTCTTGGACTTATATTTCTTTGAATAATTTGAATAACAACTTGATAACGTTTCCCCGTCTTCGCCATGCCCAGTCTTAAATTCCACCCATTGACTATGTTTCTTTTAAAACCCCATAAAATTCCACAAACTATCATTATTGGAGCAAATATGCGTGTAGCAGCGAATAGCTTGGCTAATACCAATTGCCAATTCGATGAAAAGTAAAGCACACAATTCATACGTTACGATTTAATTAAAACATTTAATTATGAATGCATATAAACATCAATATTTGACAAAAAAATAATGGTATTGCTTATACAATACAATTACAACATAATATAATGATTTGGACAGTTTTTTCGTTTCAGATACTAACCGAAATTTCTTATAAGAAAAAAAATGAAATGAATATAATATATACATATTATGTTAATAGAATATCAAGCTTTATTTAAATGAGATGCTCGAAAAGTGAACCACACATTTATCCATTGCAATAAGATCAAAATTGAATATACCACAGTATTCACCCACATTACAAAATTGTCCTTTTTGTTATACTTATTGAAATAAACTGTAACAATTCCAACCAACTTTATCAGCTAATCCATTCGAGCACGAGAAACAGCTCGCCTCACAACATCAAAGAGCAGAGCTAACTGTGTGTGCCTCTCAACATCAAAGAACAGTTCCGTGTGAAAAGTGTGTACGAACCGACACAGAACCTTTGGTTTCTCAGTACTGTGGAGTAAATTAATAAAGCTATTTCATTCAATGGAAAACAAGCGGCTATATGAACAAGCGTCTCAATATTAGGTCATATATCAGTATTATTCTTTCAAAGATGAGCTTGTTACACAGAGTTCGATCGAATCTGAATAACGTTCGGCAATGGGCAATATCACCGTGGGTGGAAGCGTGCGCATGTCTCTATTTTCATCAGTGTTATTTGATATGTGAGTTATCATATGTTATATATAGTGAGGAAATTACTTTTTCTCGGTAGTCCTATCTATGACCCAGGCAAGAAACTATACATTTATATATTAATACGCCAACGCGTAGTAAATATAGCAGTGACGAAAACTTATAGATTTTCATTAATTGTGCAATTTTACATTTATAAACTTGCTTTCGAAACAAGATTCGTTAATCTGATAACAATGGCGATGAGAATATATATCAGATAATCAAATTGGGGTTGGTTATGATATCGGGAAATGACGGTACTGCGTGTGATCAATTTTAAGATACGAGCATTTATATAGTGGTATGCACGATAATTTGTAAACAAATTAAACCCACAAAAAAGATCAAATATATAAATAACTGCAGTCCGACTATGGTACGAAGTACAAAACACGTAGTATTCATCAAGAAATGAAATACGTATAAGAAAGGATATATGTACCTATCCCACGTATAAATCCATGTATAAAGACCTACACTTAACAAAGACCGATCTGCGTAAAACACACGGTCGAACAAAAAATCGCACCTACGCGTCAGATAAAGCCTGCTGGTCCTTGATAAATCACCTTTACTACAGTTATAACACGCTTTCGAGAAAACTCACCAAACAAAGAATACACACCGTGTCAGTCGTTTTTAACCCGTTCGTTAATTAACACACCAGTAAAGAAAACGCACCGTCGCCGAGATTTTCACACCTAGCGATAATTATATCACCTTTCAGTCAATTTCTCACCCCTGTTAATTAACACACCGTACCTACAGATTTTAGCCTCTTCGTATTAGATTTGTTCCGATAATTAGAATTTTACCGATATTGGTAGAAATTTACTAAAAACCGAGAAAACTATACTGTAAACGTACAAATCTCACCTTTACTACTTCTCAGTGATAATAAACATGTGACATCATCTGCGAAAGTGATAATTTTTATTGTTGAATTACCAAATGTGATACCTGAAATATTACTATCATTTCTAATATATGTACACAAAGTTTCGAGGATTAAATTGAACAAATTTGTTGACATTGGGTTGCCCTGTCTAACACCACACTCTATTGGGAAATAGTTTGTTGTGTAGCCTTGTTTTATAACTGCACATTTAAGGTTTTTGTACAAGTTACAGGAGAGTTACAATACATACCTTGACAACCTCTTGAGCTAGATCTAGATAGATCGCACCTTTCACTTCACTTTTCTTATTATCTTTAAAAAACTCTAACATATATGTATTGTCTGGCTGTTTTTTCAGTATAAAGTAACGTCTTTTAAATTGCTGTAAATCAATAATTATACCATGTCAGGTGAAGCTAAGAACAAGGCAACAATGAGGTTAATGTACCATGCAGAAATCCCAAAATAAGTAGATGACACATATTAATCAATTGCAAATTTTTCTTTTTCAAGAGTATCGTGCAATCAAATTGATTATTAAGTATACAAGTTTCCTCACTCTCCATCAGTTAGAATCAAAGTTATCATGTCTCAAAGCATCGACCAATCAAATTGCTTAGCTCTGCCTGGCTTAAGCGGGAAATGTTAATCTTTGAATTCAGTCAAGACATTCACCTAATGAACATCTACGTCAAGTTTAAACATTCTACCTTAATTAAAAGCGGAGTTGTTATGTCTTCACCAATCAAATTGCTTATAGCTACCAAGCCTAAGCATAAAATTCTTATCGTCGAACTTAGTCAAGATAAGATATAATGAATCTATACTTGGAGTTTCATTGCTCTCACCCAATTAGAACCAAAGTTATCGTGTTCCAAAGTCTCAACCAATCAAATTGCTTATTTCTGCTTAGCCTTAGTGGAAAAGTGCATGATTGAACTCGGTCAAGGCATTCACCTAATAGACACCTACAACAAATTTGAACATTCTACCTCATTTAGAAGGAGAGTTATTGTGTCCCAAAAAGTGTGACGGGCAGACAGACAGACAGAGACGAATGGACCCATTTTAATTTATATAATATTAGGTACCGGCAAATACCAGCCAAGCCTACTGGAAAACAATGACGACGTCGCTAATTACAGAAAGTCAGTCAACTTTCCAACATTAGTACAGCTATCACACTTATAGTTTTTAAAAGATAATTTATATTCATAGAATGTTTGTTTTATCTTCTTTCTAATGATACCTAACATGACTGCATTTATGTTTGAAAGATATAAGAAAATAAATGTTGAAATTGCAATAATTCCCGGCATTACGTAATTTACTTAATTGTAACGTCATTAAAATTTAGTCCAAAACACAGAGCTTGTCAATATTTTGATTCGCGCTACGGCGCCAATGGCCTTGACACATCGTGGCCTGAATATTTATTTAGCCCTTGAACCAAGCTTTCGATTCGTATCATATTTGCATAAAAAAAATTTTTCCAAGTTTCTAATTTGCCGTGAAAGTCAACAAAAATTTTCAAAGCTAAAATACAATACGATCCCTTGAAAATAACATCTGCATATTTGATACGAAAATAAAGCTAAACAAATTAACTTTAAGATGCAATTTGTGTCGAAATCCTGTACCAAACGGCGGCTCCGCGCAACCTATTTAACATCACGTAATGCGCAGTCGTCGTTGAGCTTCCTTCCGTAGCAGACGAATGACGACATCCCAGATCGGAATTAGGTCACTTCGCTTTTCAGCCAAAAAGATCCTTATTATGGGCAAATAATGCCCTGTAAAAGTCGTTTCGTGTAAAATTAATCCCCTAGGATGTTTTTTTATTAACATGGCAATAAAATAATAATATTATTAACGTTGAAATCTTGATTTAGCGGAGGGTTGCACCATGGCAAAAATGCCAAAACCCTCGCGTACGTTAAAAATCGGCTGTCAAATCGCCGTCAATTAACTGTTGATTCAGTTTTTTTGGACAGAATGGTGCCGAATGAATGGTATGTCGTGTTAGTAGACATATTTCTCAATCCAAATTAATAGCTTCACTGATGTTTGTCCCTTTGAATTATGTGGTACGGTCCGGTGAAAAAAGTTAGTATTACTGGTTCACGTGACTGAATTCTGCCCTGTGATTGGATGAGACCAACCAAAACATAAACAAACTACATTTGCTCTGATTTTATACAGTTTCTTTCTTTATTATATTATGATGTTTTACAGAGTTTCTATATTAAACTGCATATTAATTATATTATGCATAAAACCTAAGCATAATATAATTAATATGCAGTTTCTTTATAATATAATGCTCAGGTTTAATAAAGTTTACACTGTTTGCATTAGCCTATCTCAGGAGACTCAGGTTTATATACAGCCAGTGATATTGATTAATATGATACTTTTAAAGACAGCACTGCCACCGAAACTTCTTCAATATTGATCGTTGGATGGATTTTAAAAAAAAAAAAAAAAATGCATTATCTTACTCTAAAGCAATCTCATGTAGCTCAGTTTTGGAGATTTTATTGGATTAGGGGGATCAACAACTCTGCGAAAAAGTTATAATTTGGTGGCCATCTGAAATTACCTTTTCCTCCACACTTTGTCATGTTCAAACTTCGGAAATCATTACCTTCTTCCCCATGCCCTTTACCCAGAACCATAACAGATAGCTCAATTCTGGTTATTACAGTGGATACAGGAGCCCAATATTGGTCTACATGCCAATTTTTAATGCAATCTGCCAATAAAATACATTTTGGTGGCTATCTGAAAATATGTCTTTTTCAGCAAATTTTGCGTTTTTTGTCATTAATACCTCCTTGCCCCTGTCCTCTCCCCCCAAACCATAATAGATAGCTCAATTCTGATTGTTTCATTGCAGACATAAGCCTCATATTAACCTTGATGCCAATTTTTATTCAAATCGGTCAAGAAATAACATTTTGGTAGCAGACTAAAGATGTTGGTATTTTGCCATTTTTACTCATTTTTCGGCATTTTGCCCACTCGGTCAATAATGGGTCCGACACCATGTTTTGACCCTTATCTATCCTCTTTATTTTTCATAAAGGATCCCCAAATTAATTTGACTAATTTTCTTTGCAGATCTGTGTGGGAAAAAGTGATTTGATCTGTATTGAAAGGACTATTTGAAAAATAAACATCATCAGAAAATGCCCGGCGGCTATTTGTGGCCCCTCAAAATGAGCAAAATAGGCATTTTTGAAAGTCTCTAAATAAAAAAATTGATCTATTGTTCTAATGTTTGTTTCACTAGTACCCAGGGGTAAAGTCTACCAGGAAATTACAAAACAACTGTGTTTTTGTATTTATTTTTGTATTTATTATACTTTGAAAACGCTACTTCGTGATTTTTTGACACCCCTGGGTGAGGGCAGGAGAACCCCGCCCCATATCTCAAAAAACGTTCAAGATAATTGACTCAAATTTTCTGTGCTTCTATTTGGGTCATAAATAAGTAAATTTATGCCAAAAAAATCAACATTTCTAAAGTTTGAAAATTTAGCTGCTGGTACCTAATAATATACACACCCTGCAAAATATTCTGAGGAAGCCAAAAATTATAGCCGGACATATTTCCGAAGCAATGGTTACAACCATTATCAGCTCATTAGAAATACCATCAAATACTTGCATGCAGACAATCTTTGACATAAGATCAACAGTAATTATATAATCTACAGTATAATGGTACATATTTTTTTTCTTGGTCAATCAAGTAGGTGGATACTATTAGAAAGAATTGTTATATTCTTGTCCATTTAAATAAATAAAAAACATAATATTTTTTTTCACAAACTAAGTGCTTCTACCTACCCTAGTAAAATTAATAATAGTTTCCTTTCCTCCATCAGGTCCTTTAAATAACCAACCTTTTTTATGAATAGCTACATTTTCCATGCCGCGACTGAATGTATCCTGTAACAACATTAAATCATTTTATTATTATTCATCTAAGAACTATGAAAGGTAACCACAAGTGGTCAAATCACTTGTTTCAGCAGCTAGTAAGCTTTGAACACTTTAATTTAATTAATTACAGTGTTAAGGTATTTATAAGGGAAGGTAACTCTTTTTTCAACATTGGCCTTGTAAACTCCAATAACTATATCGTCTTATAACACTTTTATTCTGCCATTCACTTCCCTAACTCACTCTCTCCACTCCCGCCATATTCCACACATCCCGTCTTCGCTTCCTCCCGCGCATGCGTACACCTCATTAGCAGACGACATACACACAAACAGTTATACATGTAAACAATACAGTTGACAAGGTTAACAGGCCTGATCCCACATCTTATGTTTGTATGCCTCACTGGTTTTAAGGGCAAGGTAAAGTGACACCATCTTGTTGCATAGTAGTCTCAACCAGTGTCTGAAACAAACATTTTCCAAGCACAGGCCAACAGGACCTGTGTGACACATGATCATGTGGGTCCTTCAGGTGACACGCAGGCCCAACCAACAATAATAATATTTATAGTTTCCAAGCAAAGCACAGAACGATCAGAATAAAGGAAGTACATATAAAGCCAGTACACCACAGAGGGACTAAGGGTTTAGTAACTTCCATTTCAATTTAATTGAAACAAATCTATTCATGGCTACATAATTTACGGTTTTAAACTAGGTCAACTTCAAACAGTTACACAAAAAAACTTGACGCCTGGCGATAATGTTGAGGAATGGCGTTGGCATAAACTCGCTTATTCCGCCCTAGATTGTTAGCACAATAGCCCAGAATTGAGTCAAATGAGGTCCCGTAGGAAATGGTTTTAAAATTATAAGCTTCCATTACCTTTAATAATAGGTAGGCCTACAGCTACACCGTTTAAAAATTTTCCATATTCACGTTCCGGCTTGAAATTCGGGTCAGTAATATTTCTGAATAAATTACTGTCTTCGTTTTTTGGATGAATATAAAATGATAAAGCACCGTGGTATTTTTCATAACACAATTTGTAGTTTTTGTCTATCACGTAACTTGCAAATATGTTTTTATTCATTCGTCCATGAGTGACACACAGCATAGTGATCACGTGACAACCATAATTGAAATTGCTTTAAAATAAAATTCCGTACGACTATGCCATATAGTTTTCAATAATAATAACTACAATATGTTTAAAATTTAGCCTCTGCCAGCATGTGTATCAAATAAAAAATCAACTAAGATTTAAATTTCTGTAACAACTGGTCAGAGAAACAATTAAATGCATGATCCAATTATTATTTTATGATCTACCGGTACCTGGAATCTATACGGAGCGTCGAAGAAGCGCGATTCCCGAGCGAGATTCGCAATCCATACCGAAAGGTATGACTGTTATTGTAGCCAACAAGCAAGTTGATTGACTACTTAATCAAAAAGTAATAATTAACCCGTTAAATTTAGCGGAAAGTAGATTGATTTATGATACCACAGTGGCAGATTCATTGTTTTTACTAATCGACTTGTTTAAAGTTCAAGCGGCTAAAGCCGACAAAAAAACAAATCAAAGGCTGGTTAATTACGCGAGTCAATGTTTGGAAAAACAGCAGCTTCCGTCATGTTGATGACAAGTAAACAATAACCGTCATCTATCGGAGACTCGGAGGTTGCGTTTCTATGACAGTTCTAGCATTTCCCGAATTGTCATATGTGGAGACTAACTATGGGAGATAACAAATAAGGCGAAGGCCCTGCAGACCCAAGTGAAATAGGCAAGCAGGAGTCGAACACTGGTCTCAACACCAACAAGGCTGAAGATATTATTTCCCAACACAGAATAGTGGCCCTTGGATACAAACGTCCAAAATAAACTCTATTACTCACAATACACTATTTCACTGTCAATACCCCTTTAATTGGTACATCCGCGTGTTATCACGTAAACAAAAATTTCAGTTTCATCACTTTCTTGCCCAATCGCGGTTACACCTACAGACAAAACGATAAAACTTGGGGACGGCTATTATCTCTCTATTTATACTCTGATCATGTAGTACAGTAGTCGAGTCTTAAATTTTGGAGTTGCTTTCCTATTTTCTTGTAGTGTGAGATCTCCACGTCCTTGCTACCATGGGTTGGGATCCGCCATTTTCTTTTTCAATCTTGAAAATGACCCATCATATATCTTTAGACGAGTGATGCGAATAATTGTTCAACTGACAACGCTTAGCGGAACATTGAATCAATATGCAAAGGTTTCATTCACATCACCATACATACAATTATGTCATATTCCCTTTAGTAATAACACATTTCGCTGTTGTATAAATGTAAACAATGTTTCGTAGGTAGCTTTCGTGTCCAAATATCTGGTATGTCCTTGACCTTATGCTAAAATCAATGAGCAAAGTGTTAATTTTAAATACAAATTTTTAATTTTTTAATTTAAATAACTGCGGAATACGATTAATTCATATCTAAATACAAATGAGGTGTCATTTACGGGATTTGATAATATTAAAAAAATAAGTCATGCATGAAATCATTGATGCGAGCAACACTTCCTTTCAGCAGTTATTCGACACAGAAAGGTAAATAAAAATGCAGTAAATACTTTTTGACTTATACTGTCACAATTATCCTTACATCAGGTGGTAAATCGTAATATTATAGACTATTGCGCTTCATTTGCAAGAACTGTCACATCTTCATTATTCATATGGACCGTTCTGTAAATTCATGAAAACTGAACTGTCAAAATCTAAGCTATCATGGCTGCCGTTGTCAAGTGTTGGTAAATGTTAGCAAAAAGGCTTGTTTCTAAATTTTGGATAGATTATTATTCATTTATGTTAGAATAATAATCATTTTGAGGGTTTGACATAGAATTTGTTACCTAGATATAATTTTTGTGGGGCAAATTCATTTCTATGGAGTACCATTTGAAACACATCATATTTTCCAATCAATCATTCAGCTGGACCTTTCCACATTCAAAAGAGTGGACTATTAGTGTACAGTTTAAGATTAAACAATGTGTTGAGTGTGAATAAATATTTAATAAAATTTATAGCTAATTATTTTACTGTAAAACTCAGTAAAAATGTTTAATGTTTTTTGTCAGTGCATCTTTATGCTTCCTGATAAGTTTCAAGGGTTGAATTAAGAAGTAATACAAATGATAACAATGTGTATTCATTATAAAAAATTGCTGAAAACCAAAAGCAGTTTCAAGGAAATTATGATGCAGTATTTACAATTTTCTGTACAGACCCGAAACATTTAATCCAAATGATGTTTATGATGGTACTCCATTCAAAAAGTCTGAAAGTAGTCTCTTGAAAAAAAAATTGAGGATATTTGAAAAAAAAAGTTTAATAATATGGACGTGGTGTGCTAAACAAAGATAGTTTTCAAAATTTGAAGTCTTGATGGTTGTAGTGTATATATTCAGGTATCTCTGTGAGACTTTGTGATTTCCCATGTTGAGTTGTTTACCCTGTAGCTGTGCAGTGCTGAATGGTATATTTGCTTCATATTTTCCAAAGTTACAAATTCCAAAGTCATTTTTTTTTTATTTTCATCCATTTTTTATTGTTCAGTATCATCTCAAGCACATTTAGACAACAAAATAAAAGAACTAAAGGTGTTG